GAAATCCTGCCTGGAACTCTTAGAAATCAACTGTGCTTTGCGAGCAGAGAGCTCCTTGACATCTACTTTCAAATCTTTTAACACGTTTGCTACTATTGATCCAGCTTTCTTCTCCTCAGGCACTGAATAGCAGAATGGTTCACACAACATACCAGAATTACATAGAGAAATAAAGAACAAGACCACTTGCCTGGTAAGAAGACATATTTCCATTTTCTCAGCCTCTTTCAGGGAAGGTCATAAATTCAGTATGATTCTTTGTAAAGCAGCTCCTATAATTTCCTTTATATTTGTGATCAGTATCTAATGGAAGTTATTTTTTGATACTCATGCTGGAATATCTTCTTCTGAAATTTCTCAAGGTTTAGTTAAGAGCTGTTGCCTTTTGCTCTGAAATTCCTTTGTCTAAAGACTAGATCTTTCTATAGGTAAAATAATTTTTATTTTTACTGTTTGTGCAATAGCACCACCTTGTGTTTAAAGTAAAATGTAGCACTGTGAATTTATGAAACTCCTTTGAATAGGACTTTATTTAAACTATGAAAATTGAATGCTTATTTTTGAAAGAACAAAATTTTACGTCATGCATACAATCTTGGTGTCATTTGTCATATTAGGACAATATATTAACAGCTTTTAATCTAGAGAAAAAGGATTCCTGCTGAAAAGTAAGAGCTATAACCTTTGGTACAATTGTGCTGTGAAAGTGTGTACAGAGACACAGTATAACATTATTACAAGGATCCTGAAGGATTTCACTTGTTTTTACTTATTTCACTTGCTGTCCACTTATTGTTCCTTGTAACTATCTTTTATATAAGACTTGAGATGTTATTCTTTCCTTTTATCTGATGAGTTTATTATGACCAAGTAGTACTCACTTGAAAACAATCATGATTTTTACCTCCATTCATAACTAGGCATTTCATAATTCTTTTCATAAGAAAATTAAGCAATCAGGAATCTAAATTATTGATGACTTAATAAAGTTTCCGTTTGTGTTTCTTTCACTCTTTTTTCCTTATAAATTTGCAAAGGTTTTTACCTCTCTTGTCTGTCTTATAATAATTTGTTTTGTTTTGGATTTTTTTGCATCTTAGTAGCAAGTATCATGTATACAGAAGAGAATAACTGGAATGCACAACTGACCATATGGCAAGATGATATTAGACCAACTTAGAAGTGGGATGGAGTCTGTGTCTTGTATTTGGTATCTTAAAATTCAGATATTTTCAGTGTTCCTTTGAATATGAGGTATAGGAAGACACTAACTTGTGTCATCCTTTAAAGGATTCCAGAATGATGCATTTAAATTTCCAGAGGTATAACTGAGTAATTTATGCATCAAAAATCACAAATAATAATATCCTTCAGGGAACTTGATGGCTTTACATGTCAGGGCTTACATAGCCAAATCTGCTTTGGTCCTTCACATCAATTTTGGTCTGGGATGTTGAATAGTCAAGCAGATATTGAATATTCAAGCAGATATTGGATAGAAGTAACTTTCCCAATCACTGGATAGAGATGTTCTAGAATTATGTATGGTTGATGCATTTTTTCAATGTGTGGTTCTCCTCCAATTGGCTCCGCCAATTCAGCCACTACTGTGGTTGTATAGGCAGAACCTAAACAAACCAAAGTTCATCCACAATAATTTCCTAGGTATATTCCTATGTCAGATACCTCAGTGATGACCAGGAATTGAATTTGAGCTCTTTTATCTATAAGGCAGATACTTTCTGACACTGAACTGCTATGGCCTCCTCAATCCTTATACATCATTTACAACCCAGATACTATATTTCCCTCTGGGCTAAATTCAGCCAAATACACATCTAATAGTACAAGAAAAAAATTCTAACAAATTCAGAGTAATAATAAGTAAGATTCTTTGGCAAGAGAATCTTATGAGAATAGGATTCAAAATGGGTGGTAATTAACCAATGAACGGCAAAGTTTCAGTGAAGAAAACCAGACGGAAGAAGCCATGTGGATAGCTGCACAAAAATATCAGTGAAGTTCTGAAAACAAAAAAGGACATACATTGGAGATAGAAAAAGGGACAGTAACTAATAGAAATAGCTCAGAATTGTAGAAGTTATGTCAGGAAGCTTAGCATGAACTGAGGTTGGTGAAGGATGCTGAGAACAATATGAAAACAATATGTATCTTCAGATACAGTATATTCAAAATGAGAGGAAGACAAGTGAATCAATACACCAGCTGCTTAGTGAAGATGCAAAATATTAACTGAAAAAACACAAGGTTGAATTACTCAACTCCTATTTTGGGTCAGGCTTCACCAAAAAGAAGATATATGCTCCACCAAAAAATTATAGAGAGGAATTTTAGGGTGAAGGGGCAGGACTGCAGCTTGATATTGATAGAAGCATTCTTATAGAATATGCATTTACTATGAATGAATGAATGAATTTTAATATCCAGAGGCAGAGGAATAGCATTATATGGAACTGAAAGATCTTGCTGATGGTTGGATTGAACCAACCTCCCTCCCTCCCTTCCTGATTTATCTGCCACCTCCATTCAAATGAACTCTACATGAAGTGCAGTTATTAAAAATGTAAGAGTTTAAAATATAATAATAGTACTATAATAATAGCAATAGTCATAATAGTACAACACCCCAAATTAAGATTATAGTTAATGGCTGCACATTCATAAAGAATCAGTCAGGCTTTCATCAGCGTTCAGAAAGCCATGAGAATAAGAGAGATCCTTGCTTTGGGGGGGGGGCACACTGTTCCAGATGAGGGGCACGCCCCCTCATGCCACCCCTCCTTTTAAGAGGTGAATGTTGATCTCTTAACTGATACTTAATGCAATAGTAATATAGAAGTGGAATAAGTATAGAAAATAGTATAATGAGACAAGAAAATAGTAAATTAATAGTAATAAATTCACTGTGAAGAGATTC